TGCCTCCCTCTTACATAGGGTTGGAAACACACAGGACTGCCTGAGAGAGCCTGGATCCTGCTTCCACTTGGTGAAGGAAGCCTGAGTGTAACTGACTGGAACTTTCATAAACAACAAAAGAAATTCACATGCCAAAACCATAACAAAAGAATAATGAAATGGAAAGCCAAAACACGATATCCCCAGCAAAGCCCACCAATTGCTGTAGAAGAGTTCTACAAGGAGAACCCCCTAGAGATAACGCAGGACACTGAATTTAAAAGAGCAATCATAAACATGATCAAGGAATTCAATGAATTTAAAGAACACACGAACAAACAAATCAAAGAGCTAAAAGAAGATAGGGATAAACTTCTGAATGAATTCACAAAAGAGATAGAAACATTGAAGAAAACTCAGGCAGAAATGAAAAAGAAAGTACAAAACTCAATAATGAAAACTCAATAAGCCAATTTGAAACAACAGGGGAAAGCCTCACTTCTAGAATGAATGAAATGGAAAACAGAATACCAACACTGGAGGATAAAGTTGAAGAACTGGACCACTCAAGCAAATAGTATGGAAAATTTTAAAAAACACAGGAATGGAATATGCAAGAGATGTGGGACACCATGAAAAGACCAAATCTGCGGATGATAGGAATAGAGGAAGGAGAAGAATTTCAGGCTAATGGTGTTGACCAGATCTTAAACAGGATTGTAAAAGAGAATTTCCAGAAATTAAGGAAAGACAGCCCCATACAAATAGAGGAAGCACATAGAACACCAAATAGACAGTATCAGAAAAGAAACTCTCCACGACATATCATAGTACATGGTAACACTAAATGTACAGAACAAAGAGAGAATATTGAAAGAAGCAAAAGAAAAACAAGTCACATACAAAGAAGGGCCCATCAGAATTACAGCTGACTTATCAATGCAAACTATGAAAGCCAGAAGAGCCTGGACCAAGGTATTTCCAGTTCTGCATAACAATAGATGCCAGCCCAGATGCTTGCCTTCCAGATAAAACCTGTCCTGAGTATACAGAATGTACACTGACATGCAAAGAAACAGTAAAGGGAGATTTGAAAAAGAAACAGTGGTGAGGGTGGGTTCGGGCCTCCATTGGGGTAGGGGCTCAGAGTTCAGCAGACCACCAGAGAGTGCAGGGTTTTGGCCTTCCTCTGGCAACTCAAGGCACTGGAAAGGCAAAATCAAATGAAACCCAAACCCAGCAGAAGAGAAGATATAACAAAAATCAGAGCAGAAATTAATGAAATAGAAACAAAGAAAACAATACCAAGAATCAGTGAATCTAGCCTGGCATGGTGGCACACACCTTTAATCCCAGCACTCAGGAGGCAGAGGGAGGTGGAGCTCTGTGAGTTTAAGGCCAGTCTGGTCTACATATTGAGCTCCAGGATAGCCAAGGCTACACAGCAAAATCCTGTCTCAAAAAATAAAAAACAGGAAGGAAAAATAACCCAAAAGACTAAATTTTGCTTTTTTTTTGAGGGGGGGAGGTGTTTTTTGAACCATCTCTCTGTAGCCCCAACTGGCCTGGAACTCACTAAGTAGATCAGGCTGGCCTTGAACTCACAGAGATTCCCCTGCCTCTGCCTCCTGAGTGCTGGGAGTACAGGCATGCACCACCACACCTGGCAAATTCGGCTTTTTTTAGTCTTTTTTGAAACAGGGTTTCCCTGTAGGCCCAGCTGTCCCCAGGCCCAGATGGATTTACAGCAGAATTCTAGACGAATTAAAGAAGACTTCCAACCAATACTGCTTAAATTATTTAAAACAGTAGAAACAGGGGGAGAACTCCTAAATTCCTTCTAGGAAGCCAGCATCACTCTAATACCCAAATTGGGTAAAGACACAACCAAAAAAGAAAACTATAGACCCATATCCTTAATGAACATAGATGCAAAATTTCTCAGCAAGATACTTGCAAACCGCATGCAGACACACATCAAAAACATCATTCACCGTGATCAAGTAGGCTTTATTCCAGAGATGCAGGGCTGTTCAATATGTGCAAGTCAATAAACATCATTAATCATATAAATGGATTCAAAGACTAAAACTACATCATCATCTCAATAGATGTAAAAAAGGCTTTTGACAAAATTCACCATGCATTTATGTTCAAAGTCCTAGAGGGAATTGGACTGGAGGGAACATACCTCAACATAATTAAAGCAATATACAACAAACCCACAGCCAACATCATTCTAAATGGAGAAAAACTGGAACCATTCCCATTAAAATCAGGAACCAGATAAGGATGTCCACTATCTCCACTCCTTTTCAACATAGTGCTTGAAACTCTTGCTAGAGCAATAAGACAGGAGAAGGAAATTAAAGGAGTACTAATTGGAAAAGAAGAGGTCAAACTATCACTTTTTGCCGATGATATGATACTATACCTAAGATATTCCAAAAGTTCCACCAGAAAACTCCTAGAACTGATCAACACTTTCAGTATAGTGGCAGGTTATAAAATCAATCTACAAAAATCAGTAGCCTTTCTATCTACTAATAACAAGCACCTGGAGAAAGAATACAGGGACATGTGCCCATTCACAATTGCTGCAAAAAAATTAAAATGTCTTGGAATAAATCTGGCCGAAGACACCAAAGATCTCTACAATGAAAAATTTAAGTCGTTGAAGAAAGAGATTGAGGAAGACACCAGGAGATAGAAGGACCTCCCATGTTCAAGGATTGGAAGAATTAATAGTGTTAAAATGACCATCCTACCAAAAGCAATATATAGATTCAATGCAATCCCAATCAAAATCCCCATGGCATACTTCACAGAATTAGAAAAATCCATCCTTAGATTCATATGGAGGCACAAAAGACTCTGGATAGCCAAAGCAACCCTGAGCACAAAGAGCAACACTGGGGGGATTACTATACCAGATCTCAAGGTATACTACAGAGCCATAGTCATAAAAACAGCATGGTACTGGTGCAAAAACAGACACATAGATCACTGGAACATCATTGAAAATCCAAACCTGAGTACACTCAATTTCAGCCACCTGATATTTGACAAAGG